AAAATGGGGTCCCCATTGTGCAGCTGATGTTCCTGTACCAGGCGCGCCCGCGCAGGCGCGCACGCCTCGTACAGGAACATCATCAGCACAATTGGGAACCCATGTTGGGCGGCTTTCAATTAAACTAGAGAAAACAGGGATGTCAAAACCTAAAAACATCCCAGGTAACAAGAACATAGCTTTTTCGTGCATTTCTCTCACTCAGGAGTATCAGCAGGGCTGGGGTGGGCTTGGCTTTTATTTGATAGCTGAGTGGGCAAGGGGGGCAGCGGCCAGGCCGGCACCTGCCGCCAGGCCCTAAATAATTATGATCCCTTATTTATTCCCTACTAACAACGGGTAACTGGCCCTATGTTACCTCTCTAAACCTTGTCTCCATTTCATTTCCATCTTCTTTTCAATTTGATTCTCCATTATAGCAAGTATATGCTCTTATTCCCTACTAACCCCAACCCTCAACCCTAAATCCTAAACCCTGAACCCTAAACCCTAAACAGTAAATCCTAAACCCTGAACCCTAAACCCTAAATCCTTAACCCTGAACCCCGGAAAGTGAACCTGACTTTCTCCGAGCCTGGGGAGCCGTTCTCTGCTTCTGCCCACAAGCCATTTGGGCATCGCCCATCATCGCGCAACCATGTGGCAAACTACAGAGAAGGGCTTAGTTTTTGTGATTCATTAAGTCTTAGGGTTTAGATTTTAGGGGTTGAGGCTTTAGGGGTTCAGGATTTACGGTATATGTATACTTGAGTCACGGGTAAACGACTTGGGACTCCCTTTTGGGTCTGGAGTGTCTGCATATATATATATACATGTATATATCATGCACCTACCTCGCCCAGCTGGGCTTGAGGAAAGCTTTTCCATTAGGGATCCAAGTCTACAAATAATTCCTACATTATGCCCTAAACGATCCATAATACCTGCACTGGGCAAGTTGTTAAGGCTCGAGACAACTTGCTTAAAGAATACAATGCACAAAGCCACCCCAGGCTGAGGTTTGGGTAAGGCTAACAACCCTCATGGACTTGCAAGGGTTGAGATTTGAAATGATGACTAAACCTAAACTCTTACGTTATACTCCCCCAAACCCGAAGCCCGAAATCCGAAAAAAGCTGTCTGTACTACAATAAGTTGCTGTCCCATGTGAGATGGTCATGGGTTGACTTGGCATTCCATGCTTGTTTCAGGGTGTCTTTGAGGGCAGGGTTCAGGCCTACCTTGCGAGTTCCGCTAGCATGTCATAGTGCTCCAAGGGTTATACGGGGATTGTATAGGGGCTATGTAGTAGTTACATAGGGATTATATGGTGGTTATATAGGGATTAGATAGGTATATAAGGGTACCCCCTATACCTCTTTGTAACAGACACTGCATCTCTGGGGTCTCTAAGGTAGTATTCATACCATCCTGCACTAGACTTCAGTATAAACAGGCTCAGCTGAGGCTGGCAGACCCACCAGGAGTTACTGGATCCTAGAATCAGAATAGCTGGAAACAGCGGCGGCAACAGCCACACAAGCAGTGCAACTGCTGCAGCACCAGGTTCAGGCAAAGGCTTGGCGGGTAGCTGACCCTCACGGAACACTAGCACCCTATGCCTCAAAGCCGCCTCAAGACCTGTTTCCAATGATTTGCAGGGATTATATAGGGGCTATATAGTGTTTACATGGGGATTATATGGTGGTTATACAGGGATTACATAAATATAGGGGGTTATATAGGGGTACCCCAAGACTCTCCCAGGTTCGTATTCCTAAGAGACGATCCAGACAGGTGACCCAAATGCTTGAGGACCTTCATGCTGCCCTATGTACCAAATCTCCAAATCAATCAAGTCTCCCCCACATCCCAGCTAAGAGTGACATGAAATCCCGGACTCCCTAAAGGATCCCAAAAATGGAGCACCCAACAAATGATCCCACTGCTTCATTGGAGAACCTAGGAGAGTACAAGGAGGTTCCATTTTTTCGGATCCTTTGGGGGATCTGGGATGGCAGGGGCATAGCACAGAGACTTGCCGGAAAAGAGATCGGCCTGACTCGCTGCAGACATAAACCCGGGTTCCCGAACACCCCCTTCCCTTTGGCCGTGGCACAAGGGCTATGTCACATCTCTTATTAAACGGCCAAATGTGGCGATAATTAAGCTTAACTACATCTAGTATGGGGGAACCTAGGGCGGGCAGCATTGGGAGGGGGGCGGTCAGGGAACACATGAAGACCCAAGCTCGCAAAGGTTAGACCAGCTTCCCAATCGCCTACATGGAAACTCGCCTACTCGGTGGAAACATAGCACACCCCGTGCCTGAGGCATGTAGCAGGCTTTTCTGTACAGAACTTATGGATAAACGGAGATTTAAGGCATTTACAGGGGTCACTCCAAGGATTGTACAGGTTTGGAGAACCCTAAGGGTCCAAATACCTAATAATCATACACTTACCCAAAACCTATACCAAAATTACTATTACCCAAATCCCAAGTACCCAATTACTGGGTACATGGACCCTCTGGGGAAAATCCATTATGAGTTCGGCAAGGTCTAGTCGCAGGACATGCAACATGAAGCAGGCTCCCTCTCAACCATGATCCCCTCGCCTAATAATACCCCCCCCATCCCTGATAACGAAACCCACCAATATAGTAGCATTATAGATTTGGGGACTACTTCTTATTGGGGTCCATTTAACGTCTTCAACCTAAAACCCCCCTCATCAAAGGTTGTCGCGCGAAGACCGGGTCCTTCATGGCTGAGCAAGCCTGACTGAGCTTATAGGGTTGAGGGGTTTAGGGTTTAGGGTTTAGAGGTTGAGGGTTTGGGGTTTGGGGTTTAGGGTCTAGGGATTATAGGGTTTAGGACTTAGGGCCAGATTCCGTGTGGTATACTTCTTAATGGACCCTGGGTTTACTAGCCGGTTAGGGAACCTGATTATAAAGGATTACAGTGCTGACCAAAGGAGAAGTAATACATTACCTAACTCAGTCCCTCGAAGATGATAATAGCGTGAACTGCTTCCAAAAAAGAGGACTTTCAGAAAGAGCAGTAGGTGTGGCTTCTTGCAGGTTCGAAGACTCCGATGGCTGAGGACTCAGGGATCCGCTGACGTAGCCACCAACATGTAACATCTTAATAGATCGCAACCCCGATTTTTGCCCCTTGTGGAAAGCAGACAGTGAAGACAAAGCTTACCAAAGACCTCCTACATCATCTTCCATCGTTCCTCGCACATCTCTTGCTCTAAAACAGAGGTTGTCTTGAGACCTTGGGAGCTTATGGGGAGCATTATACCCTGAAAATGATAGATGTCCCCATCACAGAGTGTATAGAGATCATTACCCTAAACCCTAAACGCTTGGCTCAAGGCATCTGCCGTGGGCAACGGCTGAAACGGATGCTCGTCGAAGTTCCGAAGATCCGTGGGTCCTCTAGGTGTCCATGCGGACTTTGGGGACTAAGGTCATGTCTCTGGAATTTTAAGACCTCAGAAGCACTGTGGGTTTCTCTTGCAAAAAACTGGGCTTGCTATAGGAGAGACTTTAAGCCCTGGAGACCGCTGTCAGAGTTACTTGTAACGTTGCTTGGGGTTTGGGCCTTAATGTTGGAAGTGAGACTTCAAGACACACCTGAGCAGGCAAAAGCCTGATTGTTGGTACAGCCTGGGCACTTAGAGTCCGTAAGAAGACTTGTGAGAGGCTATCTGGTTGCGTGAAACATATGGGTGGTTGTCAAAATTATGGTCCCTTTTTGGGTCCCTATTATAATATGGCACCTAATATTTAGGGTACCCAAAAAAGGACCATTATTTTGGCAACCACTCATATGACTTGATGATGGCCTGAGTTTCCCCTACTTAGCCTACAACCATGAGCCCTTCCCACGACTGTCCTCGGAAAATACTCCAAACTCGATAACCTTCCTTTGAGCTATGGTCAAAACTCCTAGTATCCCCCTTAATAACCCCTATAGTAGTCCCCTATATAATCCCCTATATAAACCCCCTTTAAGACTACTAAACTCCTAGTATCCCCCTTAATAACCCCTATAGTAGTCCCCTATATAATCCCCTACATAAACCCCCTTTAAGACTACTAAACTCCTAGTATCCCCC